CCCTGTGGTTCGACCCCGGTCTTGCCGGGTTATTTACTACTTCGACACTCCTGTACTTGAAAGAATACATCAATCTTTTCGTCGTGTCAAGGTCATATTAAAAATACCATTCTACCTCACATGTAAAGCAAAAACTGTATATTAAAAAGAATAAAAAAATAATTATATTGTACAAGTCCACAATTAGGGGTGTTTAAAAAAAACGATTAACCAATTAAACTGTAAAAACTGAGAAAAAATTAATTGAAAATACCGAATTGAGAAAAAACTGAATTAAACTAATTTAAAAATTAGAAAACTTACCCGATCCTGTTCGGTTTCAGTTTTAAAAACGAAAACCAGGTAACTGAACCGGACCCAATATATCTAGCTTAATCCCACTTAAAAAAAGGAGAGGGGTATAAATAGAAAAGTAACCTACCCAAAGTTCCCTAACCCTATAAATTTCCCCACTTTTCGAGTAAAAATAGCAGCCATCTCATTCCTTCTCTCTCTTTGGCTGCCATCTCCGCCCCCTGGTTTAATTGTTTAGTTTTCATTTTGATTCTTAAATGCCTTTTGTATTTCTTTTATAATTTTTGCTTCAATTTATTTTACTTCATCATCTCAAGTGTATAATCTACATAATAGAAGCCATGATGAGTCGAGTATAATCCACCCATTTTTCTTCTACAGTTGTTGGAAATGGATGACGCTTTAAGATTAGAAGTGTTCTCCCTCATTCATCCACGCTAATAATGATAACACTTTTGAAAAGGTTGATGCATTCACTACCGACCACTAACATTGATAATCTTGCTTAACTTGCATAATTTTCTTGTTCAACAAATTTGCTTTGCATACTATGGCAGGGGATCTTGAGAGAGTATAGTAAATAATTTGTTCACAAATTTTCTTTTTTTCAACCTTTTTTTGTTTGCTGGCCGATGTTATTAGATTTTTCGGTTTCAATCCCCAAAAACCGATATTGACCGAACGAAACCAGTTCAATTTGAACTAGTTTTCGGTTCGGTTGAAACTAGTTCAATTTGAACTAGTTTTCGGTTCGGTTCGATCTATTTTCTTAGGAAATTTCATTTTCTAGTTCGGTTGAGATTTTCAGCCTAAACTAAACCAGACCAGACTATAAACACCTCTATCCATAATTAATTGTCTTAAAATCCGTAAATAACTTAGCTTTTTTAATTTTTTTTTATAATAATTATAATTTATAAAATCAGTTTTTTTCTTGAATTTAATTGACCATTCAATATATTAAATAACTTGTTAAATTTAAAAGCCTATCATTGTAAGTGTCTTCGAGGTAACCATAGCACGTCAATGTTGTTCTTTACCTAGCCTTCACAGCAAATAATAATTTCATTTTCTAAAAGAGGAGAAAATGACTACAAAATTCTCAACCACATACTAAAATAATTAATTTTGAAAGTTGTTGTTTTCTTGCTTTGTTCTTTTTGTTTTTTACCATTCATTGACTTATTAATCCTTCAATTCCGCTTCAACTAAATAAACCCAAACAAAGCTTTGTTTGATATTATTTTTATTAAATAAAATATATTTTTTATAAATTTTTTTATATTTTAAATTATTTTGATGTGTTAATATTAAAAATAATTTTTAAAATAAAAAATATTATTTTAATATATTTTTAAATAAAAAATATTTTAAAAAAACCAATATTATATTTTTAAATATAAAAAAAAATGACCATTATTATTCTTTAAAATAATTATAATGATTATTTTTTAAAATATTTTTATTTAAAAAATGTATTATAATAATATTTTTTTATATTTTGAATGTTAATACATTAAAACAATAATAATAATAATAATAATAAAATATCTAAAAACTTCTATCGGCAACAGACTCCCTTAATATTCCTTCGTTTCCCCTTGATAGAGTGAAAAACCCCAACCAACTCCTTTCAAAAACTTCTATCGGCAACAGACTCCCTTAATATTCCTTGATAGAGTGAAAAACCCCAACCAACTCCAATACAATAGAGTAATAATTAATAACGACATTTCCATGCCCATCATCTCTCCCTCTCCCTCATGCCAAACTCAAATCTCCACAATGTTCATCACCCTAAGAACGTCACCGTCTCTCTTTCACCGATACAGCCTCCATTTCCGCTCCTCTAATTCCTCGAAATACAAATACCGCTGCCTTCTTGACCAAATTGCCCCCGTTTCCGCCAACGTCATCGCTGCCGCCGTCGCCTCCTCTGGTTCTGGCTACCTCCATGGTGCAGTTACCTCTGCAATAACTCACGTAGCTGTTACCGCCGTCGCTATTGCCTCCGGCGCTTGCCTTTCCACCAGGGTGGATTTTTTATGGCCCAAAGTAGAAGAACAACCTGGTAAAATTATTGATTAATTCATAAAATTAAAAAAGAGAATAGAATAGAAATAGAGTTAATGACTGAAAGTCTAGACATACAGGTTGTTTTATAGTGGATGGGGTTGATGTGACTGGGTACCCGATATTTAATGAGGCCAAGGTTGGTTCGGTTTCTTGTTGCTTGTTTTAGTCACCGTTGCTTCTTTCTTTGCTACCTGTAAAAAAGAAAAACGCTTTGAATTAAATTTGTGAAGGCAGGTGGTTAAGGCTATTGCATTTGCTAAGAAAGCTCACCATGGCCAGTTTCGCAAAACTGGAGACCCTTATTTCACTCACTGTATCCATACTGCTAGAATCTTGGCTATGTTGGTTCCATCTACTGGCAAACGAGTATGCTTTCTAATACTAACTCCTGATTCATGTTGTTGTACCTTTCTTTTCTCTTCTTTCCTGCACTCGTAAATAACCACATGGTGACCACCACTTCCATTATTCTACTTTGTTGTTAGTGTCCCACTTGATTTTCGTGTATTTTTGTACTTATTTTATGATTGCATTGAGTCTCTTGCTTATATTTTAAAGCCCGTTGCAGGCCATCGACACCCTTGTTGCTGGGATTCTCCATGATGTGGTTGAAGATACAAGCGAGAGTTTACTCAGTATAGAAGAAAACTTTGGTGAGGATGTAGCAAAGTTAGTAGCTGGTGTTTCCAAAATTAGTTACATAAATCAGGTAATAATTTTATATTTGTAGAACTCCTCCATTCCCTTTCTTTTCAATTTTGGAATGTGAACTTTATTGATCCTGGTTGGCAAGTATTGTAAAATTCAACCTTGTGGAACTGTGTATACCTTTTTCTCCGGGGTCAAGGTTAAGGGGATGGGCAAAAAACCTTTGTGTGCCCCTTTGTTATTGAATTCCAATCATATCAACCCCTCTACTCAATTTTGTTACATACAAGCCCTTTAACATATAGGATGAACTAACCTTTCCATCCTTCTCCGCGACAGAACTCCATTAGCTTGACCTCTTACTATTAGCTGGCTTAACGTTGACTAGTTGGGTGCTTCCATGTGACATGAAAATAATTTTTGGAAATAAAAAATAATAAAAAACCAATCAGGATTATTTGTAATAAAAGGGAAAAAAAGAAAAATGATTTTTGAAATTAGAATTTAAAAATTAATATTTTCATTCCATGTGGCAACACCTGATTGGTCAATGCTAAATCAACTTACAATGTGAGGTTAAACTAACAAAGTTCCATCATGGAGATGGATGGAAGGGTTTTCACGTCCTAAAAGTTGAATTAGCAGAGCTGGTATCGATTGAGTAGAGGGAGTGATATGACTGAAAGTTGATAGTACAGAGACAAATAGTGATTTTTGGCCTAAAGGGATGCTTTCATTTTGCTGTCAACCCATAGACCATAGTTGCCTTTTGTAGATGAATAAAAAGATCCATATGCTACTCCAAAAGTCATTTTTTTGGAAAATTGACATTTTAGGATAGGTGGAGCTAGGCTTATTTGGGAATTTGAAGAGGTACGAAAATCATTTTGCATTGGATTTAACAATAAATTTTAAGACGACAATTTGTTTCTAGAATTGGAAAGATAAATGCATATGAGGATGTCCCTTTCAGTTCCTTGCCTTTCTCCAGAAATGTTGCATGAGAGATGCGTTCTTTATCCATTTTCATCATTGAAGAAGAGGTCCTTTCAGGATAATTAGTGATGTCATGAAAAAGTTTTGGTGAAAAAGGGGAATGATGCAAGCCCATATAATAGATTTTTAAGGCTACATATTTTAGAAAGAAATACAAGATTTAATTTTAATATTTTAGTTCCCTACTTTAAGACTTCTTATTTTATTGGGTGCCTATAAATAAACACCCTGGACAAATATTCCGTTCAACTTATTATTATTGATTGAAATAAAAACCAAGAGTTTTCTCCAAGATTGATGGTGTTTCTCGTACTTTGGTTAACTCAAGATTAAGCGTGTCTTGATTTGGTGATCTTGTTGTGGTTCTATGTTAGAGAAAAATTAAGACATTCTCATAAATAGTTATATTGTTAGCAAAACAATATACCATCACAAATAATTCTCATACAAAGAATATAGAAATAATATATTTTAAATTTGACCTTGCACATGAAGATGCTTATAAAAGATCTATCCTCTATAACTATATTTAGTTCTATAAAACAACATGAATAAATTTAAATTGCTCCCTTGTTACTTGTTCAATAATGATCCATAATCAAAACTTAGTCTTATCTTTTCCTTTAAAAAGTTTGAAGTAACAAAAATCCATAATCAAAACTTAGTCTTATCTTTTCCTTAAAAAAGTTTGAAGTAACAGAAATTAGCTATCACAGTCATGTATATGGCTCCGACAACTTTCAAAGTAAGCACTCATATAAGTAGTGACAAAGGAAATCGACAACTTTCAAAGCACTCATATAAGTAGTGACAAAGGAAATAGTATTAGTTGGTAAAAAAATAAATGATGAAAGAAAACAAAAGGGTAAGAAGATTAATGGATTAACTGAACAGAATAATTTAAATTCTTATGTTTTGTCACCACTATTTTTTGTTTCCTTTATTTCACTCTTATTTCAGTGTCTGGCATTTTGTCTTCCCTTTGCCTTTAAGCATAAGATCAGATACACACACACATAAGGGTCAAATAATTTTGATTTAAGGAACCACATATTGTGTTAGTAATTAACCCAAGTGGAAAGTTGGCACTCCTCTTGACCATGTTGCTTCAGCACTGATGCCAAAACAAAGATTTTAATATTCTATGAATTATGAAATTTAAGATCATATGGATGGAAATAGTCTCGATCATAGCTCGGGGGAAAAAAAGGAAGCCATGCTGACATTGATTGAAATAGATAGTTTAGAGTCGCAAATTGTAATCACTTAACCTCATGGCCACAATAAACTTAAACTATTTGTACTATTTTTTCCCTAATATTGTAAACAAATTACTTTCCTCTGTTTTCTCATATGGTGATTGTCCTAATTTCTATAGGTCTATGTACTCTAAGATTGGTATGATTTTCAGCTGTTACTATTCGCCTTTTTTTTTTTCCAGCTGCTAAGGAGACATCGTAGGCTAAATGTGAACCAGGGTACCCTTGGTCATGATGAGGTATTCAATGTGAAGTCTGCATTGTGAAAATTTTATTTTGCTTATTGACAGAGAATACTAGAGTTTTATTATTCTGTGATTATCATAATCAGCATCAATGTGGAGTAAATTATAAATTATTCCCTTTAGTTTTGCAAAATGAATTGAATAATCCCTCTTGTTTAAAAAACTAATTAATTAGTCCTTTGACCAGTGTCAATCATGGTTAATTTAATGTCATTTGGTGTAAAAAATGTCTTCTTTTCTCATAATTCATTTCATATTATTTACTTCTTTTTTTACCACATATCTACAATAGTTATCTTTTTCCCCCACAAAGATTTACAAATGTTTTCTAACTCCCTTAATTTTACTGTTCACATATCAAGGCAAATAATTTACGAGTGATGCTCTTGGGCATGGTTAATGATCCACGTGTGGTGCTCATCAAGCTTGCAGATCGTCTTCACAACATGAGAACCATGTATGGACTCAACTTCTGTTAATATCCACAATCTATGTCTATTCTAAGAGAGGTCCTTTTTTTTTTCAAAAATAAAAATGTTGAAAAATTCTCAAATATTTTAATTCTTTCCTCTTCCTTATTGTTGATGAATGTGGTGGTTTGCTTCTAGGTTCTTTATGGTTTGAGACAATATGATAATAAATCATATGCTGTTTTTATTTTTGAAGATGCCTTTTACAAGCGAATATTTTGGTTTCTAGTCTACTATATTAATCACAATTCTCGATAATGTTTCTTTTTATTTTTTATTGTAGTTATGCCTTGCAACCTTTAAAGGCTCGAGCTTTAGCTGAAGAGACCTTGCTTATTTGGTGCTCACTTGCTTCCAGACTGGGTTTGTGGGCATTGAAAGCAGAGCTGGAAGATTTATGTTTTGCAGTTCTTCAGGTTTCCTCACAATTTTTGTTGATTGTTGTGAATTGCATTAACATTGATGATAAGCCAATTGCATATGGAGGTTAATCTGAATGCATAAATTTATAATTTGTGGTTACTATGATCGTGTGGAAAATAGCATGATAAACTAGTAATTTTAGTAATGGATGTTGAAACTCCTATATGCCAAGCAAAGTGCTTGAATAAAGAGGAAATTTATTGAATATTCTTTGGCCTAATAACGTCTATTATATTATTTCATTAATGATTAAGATTTTCTAGGTTTTGAGGAGTTTAAGAAGAGTCCAAAATGCAGTTTGGTAAATCAAACATAACTTTTAATTTAATCGTTAGATCGAACTGAAATATTGACAAACAATTTTGAAGGCTCTGTTTGCTTTGGCATTAAAATTTCATGATGATCGAAGATTGAAAAGGTCTTCAAATAAGCCTCAAAAAGTTACTATGTGAAATTGTCTTTTTTGTCTTTTGATTCTCTTTCCTCTTTATATTAGGATTTTTAGTTTAATTAATATTTTACCATTTAGAAATCATAATGCTAGATGGATGAATTCTATTAGTTATGCCAATTTTAATTAGAAATTATTTTCTATAAAAAGTTTTAAATCTAGAACTAGTATAAATAAAAATGTCTAGTTCATGTTATGGAGATTCAAATGATTATTCAGATTTTATAAAATACTAGAGTTTATTCTTTAAATTTCTCTACAGTATAGGTCTGTAATCTTTAGAGATTAAGAACTTTAGTTTTATCCACGCTATACATCACATCAATTGGTATAAGAAGACAACTGATATAAGGAGAAAATCTGGCATGAAAAGTCTGCTGGAGTGTTGCTACTGTTTTGGGATGTTTTCTGCTAGTTTATGAAGAAATTTTGGCTGGCTTTTTCCTATTGTTTTCTTTTTGATGGCAGCTGATTGTTGCACAAAACAAAGACAGAAGGGAGAAGGGCTATTGGTTTGTAAAGTAGTGACTAATTTTTTTTTTCCCCTGTTAACCATGCAGTTTAGTTGTGAGAATAACTAATTTTTTTTTTGCTTTGATACCAAAAATGATATGGGATAAAAAAATATTTTGAAAAAAGTAAAATTAAAGAAGAAAAGATTAAAATTAGAAGAAAGTGGCTGAAGAAAAGAAAGTTGCCGATGAAGGAGAGGAAAAATCAAGGTTGAAAAAACAGAAGTCTAACTTTTTTTTATTAATTTATAATAATCTAACTATAATGTCAAAAAATTATTTTTAAATAATAAAGCCCAAAATCAATTAACAATTAAACCAAAAGCCTACAAAAAATAAACTAAAGTCCAAAATAGAATAACATCAAACTTAATAATAAAATCAAAATGAAAGTTCAAATAAATTAAACCTAGTAACATAAGTTAAACCCTAATTTCCCAACCAATGAACAATAGTTGGACTATCCTCCATCATCTAAGGTCATATGCTTGTGTGAACTGTCTCGGGTTTGGTATCTGCACCAAAATTGCAATTGAAAATTTAGATATAATGAAATTGCAGATCTGATTGTGATGGAAACCTTGTATTGTTGTGACGATCAAGTTTAGGAAGTACTAGATTATTTATTCTTGTTACATTGCAGGTCATATCATTTTTTTAAATGTTTAAAAAATATTTAGGTATTGCTAACGTGTTATCAAGAAGGGAAAAAAAAAAACTAAATCGTGTAGAATTTTATCTAATTTGACTTGGTTGACTTGACAAGTTCAACAACCTGGACAACTAGAAAAAAACATAGTTTAAGGCAAAAAAATTCTAGACGACGTCTTATTTTTTAAATATTTAGATTATAACATGTTAAATTGACCTGAGTTAACCTAGTTTAACATGTTAAATCAATAACATGAGCTATGAGACCATGATAACCTTGTCAAAAGCAAATTAAAATTATTTTGAAGTTCAATTCTCAAGCAACCCAATGTTGAAGGATTAAATTGAAAAAAAATCAATTAAAAAAAGGATAAAAAAATGACTTAAGTCAACCTGCCAAATTTGGGTCATAAGGCCGGGATAACCCAATAGAAAGTAAATCATAACAAATTATAAAGTTCAATTCCTAATCATTCCATTGTTGAAGGATTAAATAAAAAAAAATCAATTAAAAAAGAACACAATAAAAACCTATATCAACTTGGATTAACATGTTAAGACTGGAGTAACCCATAGTAAGCAAACTGAAACAAACTATAATGTTTAACCCCTAATCAATCTATTATTGAAGGATGAATTGAAACAAAAATTAAATCACAAAAAAAGACAAAAAAAAAAATCAAGTTAACTTGTAGAAGTCGTGACCTAGGTCATGACACCATGACAACTCTATAGAAAGTAAATCGTAATAAATCAGAAAGCTCAACATCTAATAAATCTAATATTAAATAACAAAACTAAATTTAAAATTAAAGAAAAAAGAAAAAAAAGAAAAAAAATACTATTACAATAAAAAGTATGGAAACAATGATTTCCCTTTCTCTATTAGTTTTTGTACATCTTTTCTTTTCTTTTTTCTTCTCTCATTTTCTCTAATAACATGCTCAATTTGCTTGATGTTACGGCATGCAGCCACAGCTATTTCAAAAAATGCGGGCTGACCTATCTTCCATGTGGAGCTCTAGAAATAGACCTGGATATCTGAGAAGAATTATAGCTTGGAATGAGAAAAATTCAATTCTTGGTTGTGAAAATTCCGTGACAATTGACAAAGATGTCTCGACCATGAAGGTAACTATTGAATTGTTGGCAAGTACTCTATTCTCTTGCCTTTGATAACGAAGGAAAATAGAGATTTTGGGAGATAAAAAGTCAATGCCATATGTTTTGTTGTCCTTGGGGTGGTGGGGTTTAGTTGTAGAAGCACTTGATATTTGGATTTAATTAAGCATCCATTTGGTTTGTTCTAAAATAGTATCTTACCTTTTGTCTCATTTCCTTTAGATTATGGGTTATTTCTATTACTATATGTCTCAAATATTTATCATTTAATGATTCATTGCATTAATGATAGATAGAATTTGTCACAATTATTTTTGTATGGTTACACTTTTTGTACAAGGTTGCAATAGTTTTGAAGTGGCTAGATTAGTTGTCCACAAGTCATTTTTATTCAATTATTGTCGGTGTGCAGGATCTTTTAGAAGCTGTAGTGCCTTTTGATATCTTGCTAGATCGAAGAAAACGGTCTAAATTTCTTAATGATCTTGGCCTAACATCAGAGACTCAAACACAACCCAAGGTTGTGCAGGATGCTGGAATTGCTTTAGCATCTCTTGCTGTTTGCGAGGAAATGCTGGAGCGGGAGCTATTTATATCAACTTCGTATGACTTCTTTTCTCATTCACATTTCTTGTATATCATTCCAGAAGATTGACAGTTTTTATTCTTATCTTATGCTCTGCAATGACAGTAAAACTCATGCAATGGATTCTACCATGCTTGCAGTTATGTTCCTGGAATGGAAGTAACTTTATCTAGCAGACTGAAAAGCTTGTATAGCATCTATAGCAAGGTTTGTCACATTATAAAATCAGTGATACTAACTTGAGGCTGGTATTTCCAAGCTTCTCTATACTTTTCCAAGATTTAATAATTTTGCTACTTGAGAATTGATTTTTGTTACCATGAGTTTTGCTTGTAGGCTTTTGCTTTGTTGCAGTTCATGAGCATATTCTATATGTTTTCTTGACAATGCATTTGCATTCAGAATGTACGTAGTTAATAGTCTGTTATAGGTCTAGTAAGTAGTCTAAAGGAATGAGGTAGTAAACCAGCTAGCTATAGTTTCTGTTGTTCTTAAGAGATGCATTGGTGATTTCAATTTGAATCGAGGAAGATTGGATATCCCAATAAAGTTATTGAAAGCATAATTGTGTGGTAGTAGGTGCAGATTGGATGTTTATTGCTTGATTTGTACGAGTGAATACTGGGAGTACCACTTGCAACTCAGTCCTTAGTACTCCTTTGGAAGTTTCGCTGTTATAGATGTTGAAAGAGTATTCTCAGGCCATTGATGGTGATTCATTATTTTGTCTGGCCTATAATATTCTCTACATCTTTTAAATTGAGTGTTCCTAACCATTTTCTTTTCATTGCTAGTTAAAGTTATATGGGACTGTGGCCTTATTTTCTTTGCTTCCTCTAGATGAAACGGAAAGATGTTAGCATCAATAAAGTATATGATGCCCGTGCTTTGAGAGTGGTTGTTGGAGACAAAAATGGAACTTTGCATGGACCTGCTATTCAGTGTTGCTACAGTCTTCTTGACATTGTGCATAGGTACATGAACATGTTCATCTATATCCATTACATGCTAGCTGAACAGCTCTTATTTGCATCTAACTCATAAGGAATGACCAATTATTAACCATACTTGCCACTTGACAGTTGAGGTATGTTGGCATCATTTATGATTTATTCTAGTGGTAATGGTGGACGAGGTTGCTACAAAGCTTGGTAGTGTTAGCTCTGGGTTTTTTTCAATCCTCCAGTCTATACATCTTTATCAATTACTTAGAATATATTGGCATATTTTATGCATTTCATATAAAGGACTGGTTCCTGTCTTTCTCATCTATCTATCTATCTATGAATTGTCTCGGTCTGTACTGATTATGACCAGATAATGGGTTATGTCTTTCTATCTTCCTTCGCAGGCTTTGGACTCCAATAGATGGTGAACTTGATGATTACATTATTAATCCAAAGCCTAGTGGTTATCAGGTAATAAATATATATGAAATGAGTCGTAAGTGCTATTAAATACTTATTCAGATAAGTAGGTCTATTGTTGCATTCAAGAACGCTATAGTCTGACAGACATAAATGTTAGCTACTAACTATAGAGAAGTCACTGAAAAATCTATTAGCATTAAATTCCGTCCATCTTTTCCATAGAGCCATAAATACACACTCGAAACAAAAGGGAGAAGAAAGGAGTTTTTAGAATGGAATTTTAGTTCTCTAATATATTCTAGGGAAAGATGTAATAACTAAAGCCTAGATACATTGTTATTACATTTTTGACCAGCAGCTGAGGAGCCTATTTATTATCAAGTGACGTACTCATAAAACCAATCTAGGCCTACAGACTAACGAAATGATTATCTTTCTAAATTCTTCAATCTAGGCATATAGCTACTGCTACCACTGCTGCTACTGATAACAAAACCTTACCCCATTTCAAATGACATTCTGATGTGTAAAGATGTCCACTAAATCTCATGACGTGAGGGTATAATTACTTTCATTATACATTTTCTCAACATGGGTAACTGAAACATAGAACCAAATGATAAAGGAAACAAACCTGAAGGTAACCAAACATGAAAAATTAATTTATTTGATCAATTAAAACCAATCCCTGGAGAATGTCTATTTAGGCGCCTTATGCACCAAAGTCAAAGCACAAACTCATTAGGAATAAGAAAATTGAAACATAAGATTCTTGCCCTATACTCTCTAGAATGCTTTTGTTATGATATCTCTCCTTAAATAAATAGCTTTTAATAATCTTGCACGCAGCAAGCATGAAATTGGTCTAAAAGGAATAGTATGTATTTGGTCTTATTACAAAACTTGGCATGATTTGCATTTGACTTGAGGTTTGTTTGTGCGTGTGTTTTTTCATATTTTAAATCTGAACTTGTTTACATTTGCAGTCTCTACATACTGCAGTACAAGGCCCCGATAATGCACCTTTGGAAGTCCAAATAAGAACACAGGTATGAAGTGAAATTTAAAATGTCAATTCTGTGATGCGGCTCATAAAATTGCAATAGATCAATTTTTAGTGCTGTTGGATCAGTTTTTTTACTGTAAAAAAAAATTCAAATATTGATAATATGTTTTTTTAATAATCTTTTTAATTGTGAACTTAAAATATAATACATATTGGATGATATTTTTTTAAGAAAGTATTAAGATAGTGACATATTGAATCAACCCGGGTTAATTTGTTAAGTTTGAGACTGTGATAACTCTATATAAAACAAATTAAAATAAATTATGAAAGCCAATTTCTAATCAACCTAATGTTAAAAGATAAAATTAAAAAAAACAAAAAAACTATTTGAGTCAACCGGGTTAACTTGCTGAACCAGTGATCTAGGTCATGAGATCAATCGAAAAACATTATGAAGCATGATTTTAAATGATCAATTAGAAAGTGGCCAAAAAAAAAAAAGCAGCAACAAAAAAAAAAAACAAGATTCTAGTCAACTTGTTAAACTTGTAATTTGGGTGATGAGATTGAGATAAATTCATAAAAAGTAAATTGAAAAAAATTACAAAACTTCTTTTCTAAATATCTAATATTGAAGGTTGAAATCTAGAAAAAAAATTAAGTTAATAAGATCAGTACATAATTACATAATCCAACAGGAAAAAAATAAATTGCGAAGCAAACACAATTCCCAAAATAATTTAATATTGAAAAATAAAAAAAAGGTTGATGGATAAAATTAAAAAAAAAACAATGAAATAGTATTATGTGGGTGTGGATATATTGATTTGGCCACACTATTTATGTTTTGTTAATAATTAATATCTATTCTCACAGAAAATGCACGAGTATGCTGAACATGGACTTGCTGCTCACTGGCTTTACAAAGAAACTGGAAACACGTTGTCTTCCATTGGAAGTACTGATGAATCTGAAACTGAAGCATCCTCATATCTTTCCAAAGATATTGATGATCAAACTTCCATGGAAGATGATCAGTTTCAAAAGTACAGATCCCTCAAAGCAGGACATCCTGTCCTTAGAGTGGAAAGAAGTCACTTACTTGCTGCTGTTATAATCAGGTATGCTATGATTTCTTTCCTCTCACAGGAAAAAATTAGAGCAAGTTGTTGATTATTTTAGGCTAGTGCTGTAGAATATGGTGATTTAGGTGCTTAAAAGTTAAAAACACTGGTCTGAACACTAAAGCTTTAGCTTTCTCAAAAAAATCATTTTTTTCCGCAAAAAATAATTTTTTTTTTATGTTTTGGATTGTTTTGGTGCGCTGATCTCAAAAATAATTTTTAAAAAATAAAAAAAACATTATTTTGATGCATTTCAGCATGAAAAACACTTTGAAAAGCAACCACAACCACATTCTCAAACTAGATGGGTTTGAAGTTAGGCAAAATTAAAAACAAGATAGAGTACTACTAGACTCTCATCATTAGGTTCAATTCATTGCTTTTTGATTAAAAGTATCACTGCTTTCTCACATATTTAACAAAAGGTTGTACTTGATTCATGATAATTTTCTGCTGCACTTGAAAGACTACGAAGCAGATTTATAATGCTTGAGTTATTCTTGCTTAGATTCCAAAATAGGAGAGTTTAAGCTCTTGTACATAGGAACGTTAACAAGCCCGTCTATTTAAGGTCAAAATAAAAACTTGACTCTACTAGAGAAATTCCTAGCGACTTGCAAAATTATGGAATTATCCCCGACTTGACTACCTGGGACACAGCTGCTGCTGGAATTGAAAGCACACTGGAAAACCTAAACTAACTTCCTACTTGGAATTGTCAAAGCATTTATGGAACCAAATTAAAGCTTAGGGTTGAATGTTTCTCTCCTTCTTTTCCTTGCCTAAATATTCACCTGAATCAAAGCTAAATTCATAGGTTGCATTCATGGTGGGTTTATTGTTTTCCATCTTATTATTTTTCATCCCATCACGTTATAGTCAAACATAATGACTTAGAGGTTGAAATTCCCCCATATTTGCATTTCAGAGTAGAAAAGGGTGGAAGAGAATTGCTTGTTGCTGTTAGCTTTGGATTGGCAGCTTCTGAAGCAGTAGCTGATAGAAGATCTTCTTTTCAAATAAAGCAATGGGAAGCTTATGCAAGATTATATAAGAAGGTTCAGCTGCTCTTTCTATATTTATTACGTGTAGTGAATTTTAACAATATTCAAGATAGATATTTGGAGATTCTAAACATCTCCTGAAACTTTTATCCTTTAATGCTCAAAATGTCATGCTTTGTGAAGTATAAAGAAATTGGCTTTTGAGGAAAAGAACTTGAGAAGAGTTTGATTGGAATTTTCCGAGCTGTTAGGGGTTTTAACTCTTCAAGTCTTTTATTTTTCATAATATTCTTTTTGTTTGCAAACAACTTGCCCCATCACTTGAAACAAATTTTACAATGTTTGATAGTAATGATGTGAAAATATAGTGGTAGCAAAATGATGATGATGTGTTGTAATTGTGATTGTTGCAATAAGATAATGGTGGTGGCGGTGATGAAAACCACTACTATGGTAATGGCAGCAGCAATAGCTGAGTGGATGGTGGAGAAGGTGGTGGCGGTGATGAAAACCACTACGATGGTAATGGCAGCAGCAATAGCTGAGTGGTAGTGATAGTGGTGAAAATGATGTTGGTTGAAATATTTGGATGATTGTTACTTGATAACTGTTTTATTTTATAAAACTTTATGATATGAAAATATTTTCTAAAAAACAAACTTAGTTTATAGTTTGATTGTAAAATATTATACACAAACCAATTTTTTTGTAAAATATTTTACACGAAACAAGAACCCTTAGATTTGTATGAAGATGAGGTTAATTACTGCTTGTGTTTTATTAATGACTTGGCTTTCTAGGTATCTGACGAGTGGTGGTGTGAGCCAGGACATGGTGATTGGTGTACTTGCCTTGAAAAATATACATTTTGTCGTGATGGTATGTACCACAAGGTATGTTTAATGTGAACTTTTTTTAATACATGTTTTATGTGACTTGATGAGAAAAGGTAAATGCTGACTTCATTGTTCCATGATATTTAAGCATGGCATGAAATTTGTTTATAATTTGAAACTTACATTTTTCAAATAATAATTGTGAAAGAATTGTGAAGGAGATTCACAGTATTTTGAAAAATGGTTGTTCATCACTTCACATGTCAAATGCAAATATGAGTGATTTCTTAAAAAAAAGCTTCCTATAAAGGATTTTTCTTTCTCCCAAAGCAACTGGAAGTAGTGTTATAATCTCTCAACTCCATTTCCCCATTTCCCTAGCTTGTACTAATGTTATTGACCCTATAGCAGACCTTTACCAAAGCAAGAGTCTAGGTCAATTGGTCACTAGTTAAACCAGTAGGGCATTGGTAGAGCTGTTGGCTCAATATAAAATAATATTGTGATTTTGTAATCTTTTAATTTAAATTATAAAAAATAGAAAATGAAACCCAAATTTTGTAGAGATTACCGAGTCGCAATTATGAAGCTGACCTTTATTTTTACTTTTTGGAGGGAAAAGCAATTATGAAGCCCACCTTTATTTTTATATTTTTTTTAGGGAAAAGCTTGTTAAGAGCTAGAAGTTAGGCCAAAGGCTTAAAAGACAGGTGTGTTTTGGTGTCAATTTTTATTGGTTATTTATTACTTAAAGACAGGTGTGTTGGAGTGTGGAGCGGGTCTGTTATTTGGTGTCAATTTTTATTGGTTATTTATTATAACTTTTACTTTTTCTCAAGGAGTTGACCTTTTGTTGTTATTGTTTATGGAAATATGTATTGTATATGAGAACTAGATTATTACCCTAAGGACTAAACGATGTGGGTTTCTTGATCACTTGGTCAAGTAACCTTTAATGAAGTTGAAATATAACTCAAAAAGTTGAAAAACTAGGTTTTATAAAATAATGATATAGAGGTAAACCCGGTACATGAGAACCAAAAGTATTGGAATAAACTTGGACTCAGATATAACTCTATACCTAACAACTCGAAGTATGCAAATGATGCCACGAAACCAGTTAATTTTCAATAAGATGGTTGTACGGGTTTTTTTTTTTGAGAAGGATGTTCTACCATAAACAATCAAAAGGAAGAAACTTGCGTTTATTATCATTAAGTTGCTGAAATTTATGACTCCAAAAACATTATATAGTCTCATCTAAATGACCCTAATGCATCATTTTTAGATTAGAAGCCAATGGGCCCAATCTAAGGATTAACTACCAAAGTCCAATAATGAAGTAAACCCTGAACAATATTTAATGTGCCATAACTAATCCAAATTAAAAATAATTGTTCAACTTAAAATAAAAAAAATAGGATAATAAAAATAAAGTCTTCATGCTAGAATTTCTCCATGTAGCTAAAATCTCAAGCTCTCCTGAGTGGTGTTTTGGTCGAAACTTTTAGTGTTAGGAATTCATTCAACTAGGAAACTTTATTTTGATTGCTATAATTTTCTTTCTTATATTGCCCATTTTTAGTCTTGTTGATGTGCTAAGAATACCTGCAAAATAAGAAAAAAAAAAAAACCCAAGAAAAAGATCTTCTTAGATGCCATCACATCAACTCCATGTGGGATTTGAAATCCTTGCAAAGCATGAACTCCATTTATTCAATGAATCTAGACCATAGTAGGAATCCTTGTAGCCCAAGTTTATGCATAAGTTTAGGGTCTAAATAAGTATCATTTAATCTGCATTTGTTGTTCAAAATTAAACCATTACACATCTTGATTGATTGGGCTGAAAATAGTCAAAAAAGAACATTTTGTCGACGAATATGCCAAAACAGTAACAATAATTTTGACCAATTTAAATAATATGTTTTGAACTTTGATTGACTTGAAACTTTACCACAATGTAGTTTCATGTGTCTAGTATTTCTCTGTAAAATTTCAGCTTGCTTTCATATATGGTTTGAGAGATATGCTCGATTTCGTAAAACTAGTCAGTAGACATTTCAAGTCAAAATTCGGACTTAACCTTGTTTGTATCATCACCTCTCTCTTCAAAAGGATTCTTTCTTGAATCTATAACATGAAGATCATCTCTTGAAGAAAACAAATGAGTTTCAAGCTGAAAAATAGCATCATCATTAAAGTTCGGAAGAACTTTGTTAGCAAAGAAGATCTCTTTGATATACAAGCGTCTCCCTCATATACTAGCTCATTTTCAGCCATCTTTTCCTTTAATTTCAGCCATCTTTATCTTCAATTTCAGTTGCTGATTAAATATTTGCCTAGGTGTCAAAGTTGCAAGAGTTTAGGCCTTCCATCTATCTCAAATGAATATTTGTTAATCCATCATTCATAACTCTTCTATTATACTGTCATGGTCTACCAAGCAACAAATGACTATCTTGTATTAACAACATTTCATATAACACTTCATCATAATATTTACCAATTTAAAAAACAACTAAAATCTGCTTATTCACGTTCACCTCACCACTATTATTCTATCACTGTAATTTATAAGGCATGTAATATTTGTTATTGTGCAAGTTTAACATTTTTACTAATTTAGTACTGGTTACATTAGTGCAACTACCACCTTTTAAAATTAAGTTATATACCTTATTCTGAACGTGACATCTTGTGTGGAATATATTCTCTCTCTGATTTTTCAAATCATCCACCTTGACATGCATATTCAGTGCTCTCATCATCACAAGTGTTTCCCTAAACCTTATACTCAACACAAACATCATCTGCGTCTTCTAATGGTGATATCTTTTCCTCTTCATCCTCCCCATCAGTCTCAACCTTATTATTGGTTTTCATAATCATGACTCTTTTGTCTAGATATTGTGAAGCAACATGATCTAAACCCAAATAATGAAAGCATTTAATATCATGGTTACGAGAAGTAGAAGTATCATTGTTACCTTTACCAGTGCCTAAGATGTCTTTCTTCTCTCTTGTGTATTCGATTTTTACCCTCATCATTCGGCTGTGATGGACCAGCCCTGATGTTAGCCTTGCAATTAGGTTTTCAAGTTGTTGAAGGGCTTAATCATTGGCTTTGCTGAATGGTACCTTTCTGTTTAAGTTGTCTCTTCACCTTCATGACCATATGAACCATTTCCTCCGACTCCACATAATGATGCAATTCCACAATATGAGTTATATCATTATTAATTCCATTCATGAATCTAGCCATGGTAGCCTTTCTATCTTCCTCAACATTAATCCGAATCATAACAAGTTTTATCTCTTTAAAGTACTAATCAACAATCTTTGATACAACTCTTTATAGTAATGGCTAGGCATAAATGTCATCCTAATCCATCTTATTCTAAGTATCAATTTGCCTCTTTTAATTCTTCTTATGGTTTGTCACCAACTAATCTCACAACACAATGACATAGTCATTATAAACAATCACAACAAAATTGATTTTCTTGAGCTTCAAATAATCATGATAGAAAAAAAAAAAATCCATTCCACTTTCTTCCACTCTAAATAAGCTCCCATATCATTCTTTCTCTAAAAAACCAATATTTTCAACTTTATTGTATCAAAATCTTCACCAAACTCAATATTATGGTCACCATACCTGTAATTACTTCTTTGGTAGAAATTATCATCATATCTATCATCTTCATACTAATAATTCCGCTGCTGTCCAAACTGTTCCCATGGCCCAATGACATATTATCAAAATCAATATCACTCATGTCCATAGTATGAGCTCCAAACTCATCCACATTGGTGCTAACTCATCTAACAACCCTTATAATATTAAATTCTCTTTGCTCAAGTCTATTTTGAACCTCATCTTGATCATTAGCACACTGCCTTTCCAACCTAGACAACCTATCTCCAAATTTATTGGCTTTTTGATCCATTTATTGATTCATAATTCGCAGTTGATTTCCAATCTTATTTTCTTTTCTCTGTGGTGCCATGTTATTGCTTGACTTAGACATCTTTGAATAAAAAAATGCTGGTTAGTTGACAAGAAATATATATTCTTCACTCATTTCCTCATGTGTTTACACTCTTGTGTTTTACTTAAGGTACACAAGGATCTGTAACGATTCACAAGATACTTTACGACAAGATGAGGACATACTAGAATTAATTAACGATATGAGAAACTAAAATTAACACAAAAATTATCTCTAAACTATAGAAATAATCTAACTAAAACATAAAACAAGTAGGAAAACCCGAAACTACCCAAATTTATTTGAGCCGAACTGATTAAATAACTTTTGACACATTGATTTGACTCAAATTGATTTGAATATATATATATAATCTTGATGCAACAACAAAAATTTTCTGGACAATAAGTATTTTGTTTTTATCCAGAAATCCTAATTAACATAAACCCTAGTGCTAGGCGTGAAGAAAAATCAATAGTGAAAACTGGTGAAAAATTCACATTGACTTGATGCATATCATTTAAGATACACCTAGCAAATAAAAGAGGGGAGTAGAGGGCGGGCGGGTGTAGTCCCTAGAAAAAGAAAATAGCAAAAATACAAGATTTAAAGTTGATTAAATTGTGAAAAATGTAAGTCAAATTGAACCCTTTGGTTTCAGATTTTCAGTTATTTTTTGGGTCCATTTATGTTTTTCATTACTTTGACCATGATTTGGTAATTGATGGAAGATAGCCAATATCATGATGACACATGCACTACACCCTGCATTAAAATTAATTGCACCATTTTTTTTATTTCCAATTTTATTGACCTTAATAAATTTTAATTGTATCTTACTTCTAATTTTTCTATGTTTTAATTTTTTTTGTTGAATTTTTAATTTCAATTTTAATTGGCTAGCTTTGGTCAATTAACAAATCATAGTGAATCTAATGGAAAACATGGACAAAGGGTTTAAAATAACTTAATTCTAGAATTAAAGGATTTGATTTGATCAAATTATTAGTAGAGGTTTTAATTTAACTAAGTTCACATATCACAGAGGCATTCAACAATTTTCAGTCTTGTTATAGTGGGACTGGAACATGTCAACATCTGATTGGCCAGCAACTGGTCAACTGACATCATTCAGTCAAACTAACAGACATGGATGGAGGGTCTAAAATGGTCCAATTCGGGTGGTGGAGGGGTCAATTATAGTTTTTTTTTTTTTCCATGTGTGTGTGTAATCAAATTGATATGATACATGGACATATGGTAATTTTAATTCCTAAACTGCAAGTTCCCTGACTAATAAAAAATTGGAAGGAGTTTGGACCTTGCCTCTTTAAAAGAGAGCTTTGCCATTGCTTCTTGCTTGTAGTTCCAACTTCCACCTACAAACCTGGCTTCTTGGCTTCACTTTTGCATGGATGGGTCATCTAGGTTAGAGTCATCGAATTTTAATGGATCAATTGCTTAAACAATCAAAATATTAATTCGGAATGGATTGGTGCCAGATCTTCTGCTTAGCTGGTTCAACCAGCCTTACCTTTTATATAAACAATGTTATGTATCCAATTTCTTCCACTAGTTGCTACAATGAGGTGGACGCCCTAAACTGAATTGTTTTTTGCAACCTGACCTTCCTGTTAGAGCTTTGGAGGTAAGTTTAATGATTGTATTCATGATTCATTCTTCAAACTAAAAGAAGCAACCTCAGAATTTCACTGCTTGGGGTAGTTCTTTCCCTGTCCTTGATTAGCACTGATGATGGTGGAACTTCCATTGCAAACTGTCTTTTATTCTTTTCTTCTTTTGCTTCTGGAAGATCTTGGTCAAACAATAGAAAACACATTGAATGTAGTTAGATCTGTTATAAATGTGTGGTTGGGAGAAGATATAGCCGGAGTACTAGATGATTGCTAGGATTGCTGCCACTCTCCTCTCCCTTTCCCGATTCTTTCCTGAATGCTTTTCAAAACTTGCTTAAAATATGGAGGATCATAATTAGATGTGGGAGTGTAAAACTATGAGTACTGTGGTAATAACAGCTATCTAAACATGATATTTCTCGTTTAGGTTTTGTGCTACCCTTCTAGAAGTGTCTCTTATCTCTCTCAACCCTTGCGTTTTTTTGGTGAACTTTTATATCTATGGACAATCATAAATTAGCCAACTTAAGTGGAAAATTGGACTTTCTATGAGAAATGAATGAATTCATATGTTATCATGCAGCAAGATCAATTTGAGCGCCTATTGCCAACCTTCATCCAGGTTATTGATCTAATGGAAGAAGAAGAATCTGAATATAGAGCTGTTCTTTCTGCTGTTTTTGAGGGCAAGCCAGTTGATTCTATTGCATCTAGGCCAAGCATAGACACTGTTGCATCAACTTCTATGGAAACTAGCATCAATAATAAGGTTAGTTTTATTATCCTGTTATTTCTTAACCCTGATAACTAACGGGTCAAATACTCAAGACATTCTTATATTCTTCCCCACTTTCATGTTTTGCTGCCATTTCTATCAATTACATATAGTTTCATTTTCTTACACACATGTACAAATATTATGTGTGAGAGATCCTTTCAGAAGTCTTGAAAATTGGTCACTTTCATAGTCTTGCACACACGTCCACATGTCCACATTTTCCTTTAGCTCCATGCATGATTTAGTACTGTTCTATGATAACAAGTCTAGGCAGTGAGTATCAACTAAAGGCTTAGCATATTATTTAAAGAACATCACAGATTTGAATTGAGAAATATGTGTTGTGAAACATGCTTTATTCGCAGCAAGTTTTTATGTGGTGCATTTCTCTTATCATTTCAGACTGAGTTTAAAAAATGGGGAAGGATTTTGAAATTGATTTCTCTCGCTTAACTAATTACATGATTTATTTTGCATCATCCGCCAGCTAACAGATAATGGAATTCGTCTCCCCTCCCCATCAAATTCCATAATGAGAAGAAACAAGGGTCCATAACAAGTTCATCATGATATTCGTAAAAAAATTAAAAATCACATTGGAACATGGATCAGGAAATATCAAGCTCTCAGCCTATCATAGATTAATGATTCACTCTGAACTACATACAGCTACATGTAATCTTCATTTGTTTACTGTTTATAAGTAGAAATATCTGTCTCACAAATCTAAGTCTGCTCAAATAAGATACCTGCGAGTGTCCATCCACAGAGGCATGCATGTGAGCCCAGGCACATGTTCTTGCCTAAATAGGATAGGAGCTGCTCAGAACATTCTCATGATTGAATTTTGTTTAACTTTCAGGTGCATCTTTTAAGGACAATGCTTCAGTGGGAAGAGCAACTACGAAATGAAGCAATTCTTGGGCAACCAAAGCATGAGCGGAAGTCTTACAGTAGTCTTGAATCCGGTGGCCTGGGGGAAGTGGTCATTGTATGTTGGCCTCATGGTGAAATAATCAGGTTAACAAGTGGTAGCACTGCTGCAGATGCTGCAAGAAGAGTGGGATTTGACGGAAAGCTGGTTTTGGTTAATGGTCAGTTGGTATTACCCAATACAGAGCTCAAAGATGGTGATGTGGTTGAGGTCAGAGTTTAAATACACATTCAAAAATCAATTGTAATTGTCTGGTGTAGTTAGAAGGAGAGGTAGATGTCATAGCCATTCTTGTGAAAATGTGATTGTTGTAGGGGGCAATGGAGCTTAGCATTCAATGATTACTCCATCCCTGGTTGGAGGAAATATCCTCATGCCTATGGTTGTTATGATATTAGGAGATCATATGTCAGCAACATTTATTATTTTTAATATGTTATTTTTTTCTATCTTACTACTTGTCTCTATAATAAATATATTGTTTTTCATTTATTATTTCCCTTGCAAGTTTAAAAGATTTTTTAGGACGTCCTAATAAGAGCACGACACCCTTAGACGAGGAAGTTCCATCAATACGGGTTGGATGAAAGTGACATTAATCTTGAGTATTGTACATAAAATTAATAGCAATAAGAAAGCTTCCTTCTTCTCTACAAACGGTTTACTCGGATGTTGATCATGTCTGGTGGTTATGATTATAATGGAGTGCTCCCTATCCTTCAATGTGGTTTCACACTGTATGTGGTATAAGTATAGTGGCGTGTTTTATAATGTGTTTTGGAAGTGTTTTTAAAAAAAATTAATTTTTTTTTATTTTTTTGTCTTGTTTTAAATTAATATGTTTTTAGATTTTTTTGATGTGTTGATATTAAAAATATATTTTTTAAATAAAAAATATTATTTTAATATATTTTTTAAAATTAATATTTTTTTTTATGTTTTTAGATTTTTTTTGATGAGTTGATATTAAAAATATATTTTTTAAATAAAAAATATTAATTTAATATGTTTATGTTATCATATTTTTTTTGATGAGTTGATATTAAAAATATATTTTTTAAATAAAAAATATTATTTTAATATTTTTTTAAATTAATGTTTTTTTATGTTTTTATATTTTTTTGATGAGTTGATATTAAAAATATATTTTTTAAATAAAAAATATTATTTTAATATGTTTTTTTAAATTAATATTTTTTTATGTTTTTAGATTTGTTTGATGTGATGATATTAAAAAAAATTAAAAATAAAAAAAATATTATTTTAATATATTTTTTAAAATTAATATTATTTAATGTTTTCAGATTTGTTTGATGTGCTGATATTAAAAAAAATTTAAAAATTTAAAAATAAAAAAAATATTATTTCAAATATGCTTAAAAAAAAAGCTATATAGCTATCTAGTCGTGCATTAGGAATTTGAAAACATATTCAATTATGAAATCGTACAAAGTTTGGGATGTGTTTATGCTAGAGATATGTGTATCTAGCCAAATTCTCTAATTTGTAATTCATTTTATACACGTTTTTCATGTTAATGTCTATAGGCATGCATATTTCGCCATACTAAGCTGGAAATGTGTCAACTTAGGTTATAAAAAGAAACAACGTATCCATTTTTTGGAGGAAGTTGGAAAAGGTTTGCTAAAAAAAGTAAAGGGTGAGAGTGCTGGCTCGTTTCCACTATCCTAATCTAGCACTTGTATATTCATGATGCATGGC